TTTTGTTTGATATTTGGCTCACACTCAGTGGTGTTCAGGACGTTCTCCTGACTCTGTCCTCAGGGATCACTCCTGGCAGGGCCTGGGGAACCCTGTGGGATACTTGACACTGAACCCACACGGCAGACCTGGGTTTAGTTCCTAGCATTCCATATGGTCTCCCGAGCCTGCCAGGAGTGATTCGTGAGTTCAGAACCAGGAGTACCGCTGAACATCGCTGGGTGTGTGGTGCCCAGACAACAAAAGAGTGACAGAGAATTAGGACAGCCTGACCCATTCTCAAAATCAATAGTCTGTTTTTACTTTGAGCCAAATGTTGAATCGATGAAACTAATAGTAACCATTTATTATAGCTACATTCAATGAAGTAGAAAATATGCTAATAATAAATTCATCGAATTCTTGCCAGGGAAATAAGATCCATTAAACAGGAATAAGATGGGGACTTTGCACAATTCAGGGTTTGGTTTCTGTCGCCACATAGTACCTGATGTGTGCTCCTTTCCATCCCTTCTCCTCTCCCCCCAAAAGCACCAAACACACACCTGTGGCCAGAGAGTGAGTTCAGAGTGTGGGAGTTAATGCCTGGCAGGCACAGGCCCTGGGTTCTAATCCTGATGCCTTGTGGCCTCTTTAGCAATGAGAATGTAGCCTCGTGGCTCCTATACTTCTGGGGGACGGAGGTTTCTTGGAAACACATAAAAACAAGGGCTGAAAAGATGAGAGGGTCGGAGCACATAGTACACTGCCGGAGCAGTTTTGTGAGGCTGTAAACTGACTGTAAACTTTATTTACTCCTTTTGGAGTTCAGGACTTAATTTGTCCCAAAGTAGCTAAACAAAACAAACCCTAAAATATTCTCCTGTAAACCCCAACTATTCGTAGGAAAAAAATGTTTTTGTACATGAAACAATACAAATTCAAAACTTACAGGTAAGCGTTAGCTCTGTCACTCATCTCTCTAGAAAGTTGATATGAATATCCAGTCATTCCCTTGAAATATCCATACAGATTTCCTAGTAGACTGCAGGACCGAATACTGTCTTGGGATGGCCTCAGAGGGCTCTCTAATTGATCAGGTAGCAGTAAAACTCTCAGAGTCCTTTCATACAGAAAGAAGGAAAACATTAGAGCTAGACGAAACTCTTCAACTTGAATAATTCCTCGTGGCTGGGAATCTCCACCTCCTTCACGGAATCCTCCTCACCCTCCGAAACTTCCCTGATGCCTGCCAGCAAATTCACCTGACTTCCTCTGCCACTCTGCCACCACTGGGCCACCTAAGCCACTTCGAGGGGTCAGCTTCACGCTTCGGCAGGGCCCAGTTTGTTTTCATCAATTCCTCTATCTTCCGTTTCCTCTTTGGCAGTTTTGGCAGTTTCCGTTCCCTTGCTGTTGAAGTCTACAAAGCTAAACTCTTTGGAGTATCCCGTCGTCCTGTTTCTTGACTATCCTTGCCTGAACTTACTGGTTTTAAAAATGTTTGGCAGTGATATTGAACTAGAAACACCAAAGGGAAAAGACAGAAAAATCGAGATGCAAGAACACTTTTGCTAAAAAGTTGGCTAAAACTTTAGGAAGTTACTCAGGATGAATTAAAGGAAGTGTTTGAAGATGTTACGGAGATCAGGCTAGTGAACAAGGATGGGAAGAGGAAAGGGATGGCTTACATTGAATTTAAATGGGAAGCCAGTGCAGAGAAAACCTCGGAAGGCAGGACACAGAGGTAGATGGGTGATCCATTTCTCTGTACTGCAACTGGAGAGAGAGGTCATTCTGTAAATTTGAAAGACTCCTGCTGTTCCTTTCTTCACCCACATTTTGTGTCTTGCTTTTCTCATTCTTGTTTTGTGTTTTTAGGTGTCTTCATACTTCTACAAGGGGGTTCTTTTTTTTATACAAGTATTCTAAGTACGGAAGAATTTCTTTAGAGGGCTGGTTTAGTGGGAATGAGTTCTTCTTACTGTTGTTTGTGTGAAAAACTCTGTATTCCATCCTCAAATCTGGCGATAGCCTCGTTGGGTAGAGTGTTGGTTGATGTTCTTTTCCGTTCAGCGCTTTGTTTCTATCCTGCCACACCTGTCCTGTGTATGGAGCGGTTTACCGATAATCTCATGGGGCTCTCTTAAATGTGACTCTGACTTCTTGCTACTCTTATTTTTTGCCATTTCAATTTCATCGTAGCTTAGTGTGGTCTGGGATGATTCTCTTTTGAGCTCTGAGCTTTCTAGGTGTCTTAACTCCCTTTTTCAGCTTGGGAAAGTCCTTAGCTATTCTGTCTTGAAATACCAATTCTGCCTTTCCGTTGTAAAATTCATATGGTATGAATGTTGTTGCTCTTGATGCTGTCCCTTACAACTTGTATGTTATTTTCATTTTGTGGTTTGTTTTCGTACCTCACCTGTGGTGCTCAGGGTCTGCTTCAGACAGGGCTTGGGGACTCATATAGGGGCCTGGTATTGAGCCCAGGTCAGCCACTTGCAAGATGGCCCCTACCAGCTGTACTCTTTGGCCACTATATTATTAGTATTAGTATTAGTATTAGTATTAGGTTTTGGGTTACACCTAGCACTTGGGTAACTCTTGGTTCTGTACTCAGGAATTACACCTGGTGGTGCTTGGAGGACCATGTGGGATGCCGGGGATCGAACTCTGGTTGGTTGTGTGCAAGGCAAATGCCCTGCCCGCTGTACTATTGCTTTGGCAGACCCCTCCCCCCCATCTTGTTTTAAATGAACATTTTCTGGTTATTTTGGGGTCACACTGCATGCTCAGGGCTTCTTCCTAGCTCTGCTCTCAGGAATCACTCCTGGAGGGCTCGGGGGGCCATATGGGATGCTGGAGATCGAATTTGGGTTGGCTCTGTGCAAGACAAAAGTCTTTCTTGCTGATTATTACTCTGGCCGCCATTGTTTCAAATTAATTTTTTGATTTGCAAGTCTTTGCTTTGGGTGGTGTCTGATGCTTTCCCTTCAGGCTCACAGTTTTTGCTTTTGGCTGCTTCCTTTCTGTTGCTGAGTCCATTATGGTTTTCTACGTCTATTGTATTCTTCGGCATTTCTGCTGCATCTGCTATCCATTGTACCAGGGTCACACACAGGTTTGACTGTGGTGCATGTACAGGTGCTCACTAGAGGATTCATCTTTATGTTTTTGGGCCACACCTGGCAATTGCTCAGGGGTTATTCTTGGCTGTTTACTCAGGAATTGACTCCTAGCAGTTCATGGGGAACCGCTGGGATGCTGGGAATCAAACCTGGGTCAGGTGCCATGCAAGGCAAGGGCCCTACCCTCTGACTTTTGCCTGGGCTGTGGAGGTTGCTTTAGTGCTGGGCATCTCATAGAGTTGCTGCAGTTGTGCTCGGTGTATGTGGTCAAGTTTGGAATGGAACTGGCAGCCTCAGGCTTGCAAGGTGGGTGACTTTAGCCCCGGGCCACCATGGCCCCAGCTGCAGTGGTTTGTGTTTGGACTGTGTCTTACTGTGTTGAAGATCGGATTGATTTCTCTGCAGTGTGCATTGCTAGGGTGATAGCTCTATTAGGAGCACTTTGCAGGTTGTCGTCTTTAGTCTCTGGTGCTCCTCACTTCTGTTCCCTGTTGTATCAGTGCTTCAGAGGACTCCAGGAGGGCCAGGGAAGTTGCATTCATGGGGGCCTGGCTTTGGTACTGATTTTTAGTGGGCCTGGGGATGACTAAGGATTTGAGGTAGTGGTTACCGGGGCTACCTGTGCAGCAGCCTTGACAAGGACTGTGTGTCTTCTGCTACCCTGGAGGATCCCTAAGGAACTGTGCTAGACTCGGTTGGGAGGAAGGCCGCAGGAGTGGGCAGGGCAGGGGCCCGGGGCTTTCTGGCATGTGTTTGGACATGCCTGTGGGGTGTTTTCTGTCTTTGCGGTGGGTGCAGATTGCTGTGAAGAGTCAGTTGTATCTTGGGAGGGCTGTGGGTCCCTCTCTCTGTAAACATTTTGTTTTGTTTTTGGAGAATACCTGCCAGTGCTCAGGGGTTACTCCTGACTCTTCACTCAAGAATCAACTCCTGGCAGTGCTTGGGGGACAGCATGGCATGTTGGGGACCAAACCCGGTTTGGCTGCGCGTAAGGGAAGTGCCCTACCTGCTGTGCTACCGCTTTGACCCCTGCAAGCATGTTAGTGTTTCAGCTCCCCACTTCGCTGAGGTGACTCTTCCTCAGGAATTGGTGCTCAGGCTCTTAATTACGGAGCCTGAGGCCCCGGGGTGGCACTGGGGCTTCCTTCTTGGCAGAGGCATCGCTGTTGTAAGCAGTCTGGGGCCTCTCCTTGTCCACCTTGCTGCAGAAGCTTTGTTGGGAGTAGGTCAGTGTCTGGGAGAGTACTCCAGGTTTGGGTGTGGATTTGCTGTGATCACAAGAGGAAACAGGTAGAGTTCGCCCTGGTTGGCCATCTTGATCTGCCCCCAAGAACCGTGGCTTGCTCTTCAAGACTGTTCTCCCTTGAACAGTATCGCACTTGTTGTCTATCTTTGCTTGCTGAATTCCACTCTGAAAGCCGGTGTTCTCTTGAACAGGTACTTCCTTTCTCTCCTCTCTCTTTCTAAGCAAGTTTCATTAAAGATGATCTTGCTTCGTACACACAAAATAGTTACATGGTAAACTCTGATTTCTAAAATGATTTATCTACTTGTAAGGATAAGTGATAAAAAGACTATCGCTGTCGCTGTCACTGTCCTCCTGTTTGTCGTTCATCAATTTGCTTGAGCGGACCCAGTAACATCTCCATTGTGACTCTTGTTACTGTGTTTGACATATTGAATACGTCACGGGTAGCTTGCCGGGCTCTATTCTGGGATAAAAAGACAAGCCCCTTAAAACTCTACGTAAGAACCATGGTAACCGTCCATCCCTGAACCCTAGCATTGTATCGTTACAGAGGCGTGTAAGGTTAAAACCACCAAAAATAAATCATGCTAGAAAATACTTCTGGTTTTGGTTCTGAATTAGCTCTTTTGTTTTCTTTTTAATAGGGTTACACATCATTTTGGAATGACTGTATATCATCTGGATTACGTGGCTGTATGTTAATTGAATTAGCATTGAGAGGAAGGTTACAACTAGAGGCTTGTGGAATGAGGCGTAAGAGCCTGTTAACACGAAAGGTAAGAGGAGCACTGAATAATGACACTTTGAAAAGACTGACTAAAATGTTCTTACTAATAGCATTAAACGTTAAAGAGAACTTGATTTTAAAGTTGATTCTTTTGTTGAATTATTTTCTGTTTTTGCATACTTATTTTTGGTCCTTTACACATAATGGATAATGTAATTACTGTCAGGCTCAACAGTAACTAAAATAAAAACGGAACTAGTGACTCAGAGGCAAGTCAAATGAGCTGGTTTGAAATTAGTTTTAAGGACTTCATTATAGTTTATAAATAATATATGTACGCATATATTTTTTGGTTGCTACTAATTATAGTAATCAGCAGTAGTTTTGCTTTTATGTTTTGGAGCACTGGCCTGATGTGAAACATTATTGATACTGACCCTTTCTGTAGAAGCAAAAACAATTTTTGTGTTATTAGAAAGTTATTTGTGTTCCCCACCTTTTCCCCCTCATCTTTTTTGGGGGTGGGTGTAAGGGAAGGGCACTCTCAAAAGGTGCCAAGGTGGCTTGGTGCTGCTGCTGCTTTTTTTTTTTTCCTTTTTGTGTCACACCTGGCGATGCTCAGGGATTACTCCTGGCTCTGCGCTCAGGAATTACCCCGATGGTGCTTGGGGGACCATATGGGATTGCTGGGCATTGAACCCAGGTTGGCCGCATGCAGATGCCCTACCTGCTCTACTATCACTCCAACCCCCCACTGTTGGTGATTCTTGGCCAACCAGACAAGATCAGATGGTTAAGTGTTAGAGCCGGGGACCAGTGGAGCCACCCTAGTAGCTCAGGGCCTTCATGGGTGCACCATGATGCTTGGAATATGGTGCCCGCAATCTAATCTGGGTCCTATTCGTGGCTTGTGCCCTAGCCCCTGAACTTCCTCTCCAGCCCTCTTTACCATCTTGTCTGTTCTCACAGTGCTCAAATCTGTCTTGCACTTGGCTCTGATCTTGGAAATTTTGTGATAACCAAGATGCCCAGCTCTTGCTGGGTATCTGATAGGTTTTTGGAAAAAAGTACTCAACTCTGATATAATTTACTTATTTAGAAATATTTTCATTAGGATGATATCTAATAGTTATAAAACCAACTTGTATGGAAAGACGAAAGAGCAGTCTTCTTAACACTGTCCTCCTTCCTCGGAGGTGAAGAGTCCCGATATCTTGTCTTATTTTGCTCTGTCTGTCTTAACACATTACTATAAACTTGGAGGCTTAAAACCACAAATGGTGCCCTCCTGTAGTTTTGGTGGCCAGAGTATAAAACCATGAATGAGCTCTACACTCAGCTCACTCAAGTGCTCTTGGTCAAGTGCTGTTCCCTTATAATTGCTCCAGGCTTGCATTGGCTTATGGCCACATCTCTCTTGGACTGTCTTCCGCTTCATTGTCTTTGTGCCTCTTAGAACATTTTTATTGCGGTTATCTCAGCCAGATAGTCCAGGATGATCTCATCTTAAGCTCTCATTTAACCACATTTCCTCTGGCAAGATCTGGGAACTAGGTTCTGGAGGTTGGAACATGAACACTTTATTGGTTTTTTTTGTTGTTGTTGGGACATGAACACTTCTTTTTGTTTATGATTTTGTACACCATGGAGGTACTGCTTATGACTTTTCGGTATCAGGGAATTGAACCTGGGGTTCCCTCATGCAAAGTTTGTGTTCCAGCCCTTTAAATCATTTTCTGTACACATGAGTATTTTCTCTTTTTGGGGGGGAGGAGGGCCTCACTAACCAACTCAATACATGGTGACTTCTTTTGAACCACCACATTTCTAAATAAGCTTATACTGTCTCTTCGAGAGACTGTTTACTTCCCAGAAGAATAAGTGACTATTTCTTGGTTCGTGCCCCCAACCCCCTCTGTCTTCCTGATATATTAATCAGTATTTTGTAAAATAGCAATAATCATCTTATATAATTAAAAATTATTCTATCAAACTAATAATATATTAGCTGTATAAACTAATAATATTATTAAATTTTATTCTCTGCGGGCTGGAGTGATAGCACAGCGGTAGGGCGTTCGCCTTACAAGCGGCCAACATGGCCGACCCGAGTTCGATTCCTCCACCCCTCTCGGAGAGCCCGGCAAGCTACCGAGAGTATTCGATATGCCAGACACAGTAACAACAAAGTCTCCAATGGAGACGTTACTGGGCCCGCTCAAGCAAATCGACGATCAACGGGAGGGCCTTTTTTACCTTTTTATTCTCTGCATAGTTAAGTTACGTATTTTTCCCTTTGGAGTTTTATTTCTTTGAGCTAATGCTCTTTAAAAAAAAAGTTTTTATTTTAGCTGCTTTTCTTCTTACACATGCTCCATAAGAGAAAAATAGCCTCTTAATTTTGGGACCATACCCAGCTGTGCTCAGGATTTTCTGGCTCTTTCCACTTGGGGATCACTCCTGGTGGGCTTTGGGGACCATATGGGATGTGAAGGATTGAATCCAGAATGACTGTGTGCCAAGGCAAGTGCTTCAACCCCTAAGTTTTTAATTTTGGCTTTTGTTTTGTATGTGGGGTATACGCTCAGCCTTGTTTGGGGCTTGCTCCTGACCGCACTCCGGAACCACTTCTGGCAGTGCTTGGGAGACCGTGTGCTGGGGATTTAACACGGTTTAGGTACACACACGGCAAGTGCCTTACCTGCTGCGTACTCTCTCTCTAATCCCTACTTGCATTTTCATTTTTAAATACATATTAAAATATCCTAGATACATAAGATAGCTCCATTAAAATTTTCGATGTGTTTCAGTCTGAACTGGTTCTACTGGTTCTGGTTTGGTTTTACTGGAGCTTCCTGTCACATTTGTACTGTTTTCAACTTCCTGCCTTTGGGTTCTGTTATAATCTTCTACCCCTGTGGGAGGAAGCTGTTTTGAGTTTTTCCATGCCTGAAAATGGCTTTCTTGTGCTTATGTTACTTGACAAGTGTGACTTGAAATAGTGCATTCCTTTGAATTTACTCTGACAGAGTATTGAAGGCACACTCTAGTATGGTGGTTTTCAGCCATCGATTTGAAGACCGTTGCTGGTCTGTAGTGGTAAAAAAGGTGAACAAATACAGCCCTAGTAAGCAGGTGCTGTCAGTTCTTGTGCCCTTCTGATTTTTTATTCTGTTTAACATCTACCTTTCTGTCTCTGGGAGCATTTGAGATCATTTCATCTTTGGTGTGCTGAAAATGTCTTGATGCTTTTACGTTTCTACCCCATGTTGATTTTTTTTTACCCTATAATTTTTATGTTTTGATTTCTAGGATCATTTTTTTTGTCTTTGATTGTGGGACTTAAAATTTTTAAAAATTCAGTAAGGTTCACACTCAGTGGTATGGGGGGGAGATGGGGCCATTCTCTGCCACCATGTTGTCCTGATACCTTGGCGCAGTGCTCTGGGGCCAGCAGAATGGGCTTGGTGTCGTGTCACACACGTGCGGTGTGTGTGCTCTGCCTTTGCACTGTACCCTGCCCTGACGGTGGCTTTTTACTCTTGTTGGACACTGTCTCTCATTTGGGGTCTCTGTGGGTATATTTTTGGGAATTTTATTTCCCTGTGTTTCGTCCAAGTATTTTTGGTTTTTATTTTTGGGCCACGCATAGTAAATATGTTTAGGGGCTGCTACTGGCTTAACCGTCAGCAGTTGCTCTCAGGCACTAGGAGATGGATCCAGGGCGCTGTCACTTGCACAGAATGCACTCCAGCCCTTTGAACCATTTCTCTGACTTTGCAGAGCTGGCTTCCCTTGCTATTTTGGCTTTAGTGTCGAAGGCTTTGCTTTAAAAGTTTTGTTTTCCTTGATTATATTTTTATATTTAAAATTCACGCCTCTCCAGGGGGAAAAAACACTAAAAATTAATATATGTGGACAGAAAATATTTATGAGTGGACAAATGTCACTAAATTTTATAAGGAGTTAAGAACTTAATGTGTGGGACTAGAGTGATAGTACAGTGGGTAGGGCGTTTGCCTTACACGAGGTCAACCTGGGTTTGATTCCCAGCATCCCATATGGTCCCCTGAGCACCGCCAGGAGTAATTTCTGAGTGCAAAGCCAGGAGTAATCCCTGTGCAGTGCTGGAAATCCAGTCACAGCACCCAAAAAGCAAAAAAAAAAAAAAGGAAGAAGAAGAAGGAGTCATTGAAGAATTTGAAGTAGGGCAGTGGAACCTCCAAAGACCAGCTTTTAGAAGCATGAGTGGGGAGAATGGGTTGGAAAGGGCTCAGACTAGTTATCGTGCTGTGCCAGCGTGCCAGTTGGTTAGACCACTTTCAGGAGTGAGCGCTGGCGGCATGAACTGGCGTCTGTATGTTAAATTGACTAGTGAGAAGTGATCAGATTGGGTAGATTCATAGGTACTGGAGAGTGAAGTGTCCATCTGAGCGATGTAGGGGATAGAATTTCCTAGGAAAAATACCCACACCTGGTTATTGTGGCCTCAAAGGTGGGTAGTGTGACAGGTGGCCGCTGGTCGAAGAAGTGGGCGAAGGGATGGCCTGACCCAGCAGAGAGTCCAGCTTTCTCTCCTACAGTCGTCTTAACTTCCCCACTCTGCCAGTGTGTCCTGGGAGCAGCACCAGCCGACCTCTCTGTGCTGGGGGAAATCCATTCACAGCACCCACTTGGCACAAGAGTCTGGAGTCAGACTCTAGAAATGGAGCCAGTGCAAATTAAAACATATTGAAAATAAAATCAGACACTGGCATTTTAAAGATTTACTCTGGGGAAAAACATAAAATATAAAATTCAGTGTGTATTGCACAGGGTGTTGAATTTGAAGATTAATGTCATTCAGTTTTTTTCTTTGACTATTAAAGGTTTAAAATAGATTTTTATTTTGACCACACCTAGTTGTACTCAGGGGCTACTCCTGGTTCTGTGCTTCTTGGGATCTCTGAAGGGATTCAGTTTCATAGAATTTTAACGAGAAATTTGCTGTATGTATAGCCAAGGACTTTAAGGAAGCCTCAAACGGTACAGCATTTTTCTCTTTCACTCTTAAGAATCTTAGACTGGATATGAAGGCACTTCCCTTGTATCCAGGCAACCCTGGTTGGATCCCCAGCATTGTATATTGGCTGCTGAGCACAGAATCCAAAATAGCCTCTCAATACTGCTCGGTATGGTCTAACTCCTCACGCCTAACCCCCCAGAAAGAGTTCTTTTTGTTCTGGTTTTTACCCCTGACTTGGCGCTTGGAAGTTGCTCCTCCAGGTGCTTGAATGACCATGCGGTGCCTGGAATCAAAACCCAGAACCTCACATATGTGAGTTAAGTGCTCTCCCACTGAGCCATATCTCACTCCCCTGATCACAGTTCTTTTATTTGGGGGGTGGCCCCCACACGTGGCAGTTCTCAGGGGCTACTCCTGGCTCTGCACACAGGAATCACTCCTGGCAGTGCTTGGGAGACCATATGGGATGCTGGGGATCCATCCTGGGTCTGCTAAATGTAGGCAAGTGCCCTACCCGCTGTACTATTGCTTCAGCCCCATATTCATGTTTTTTTTTGTTTGTTTTAAATGTGATCAGATGTATTAATATTTTATTTTATTTTTTTAATAATTTATTTCTTTATTGAATCACTGTGGGAAAAGTTACAGAGCTTTCGGGTTTAGGTCTCAGTCATGTAAGTATCACACACATTTCCCTTTACCAGTACTTATTTTTAACCGTGAACCCCAATAGAACCCCACCTCCCACCCCTCCCAATTCCTGCGAGGCTGATGAGTTCTAGTTAATACTCTATCTACTTTGACTAGATACATTGTTTCGATAGAAGACGCACAATTATTGTTTAGAGTTTATGACCCCCCCCAATCAGATATGCTGAAACAGCGTTGTGAAATGATTTGCTTTCTACAGCTGGGTTTAAGAATAAAATGATGTCGTGCGGCCGCTATTGCGGTTTTGGATTTCTGCTGTTTTACTTATTAACCCTGGAAGTATTTCTATTAAAAGTTAGATAGTTAAGAGATTGGTTTCTGTGCCCTGGAGTCGTGGCCATGCTGGAGAGCCGCTCGTGGGGGGCAGCTGGTGACCTCGGTGGGGCGTGAGGGACGGCCCACAACGCCCCCCTTCCCATGAGGTCCCTGCCGCTCCCGTCAACCCCGGCTCAAACCTGCTGTCCACAAGGCTCCCGTGCGGCCGCCATCATTCTTTCCAGAGAGGAGCGGGCGGGCCGGTCAACACCCTTTCCCCTCCGGGCAGGCATGCTGGCGGGTTTAACACATAGTCCATTTGCTTTTCTGCTCCAAGCGGGTGGCTCTCTGTGCTAAGTCCTTGTGCCTCCGGGGCCGTGGCCGTGCTGGAGAGCCGCTCGTGGGGGGCAGCTGGTGACCTCGGTCGGGCGTGAAGGACGGTGTATTAATATTTTAAAGATTGCTTCCAGCTCTCACAATTTTGGAAAAGCTTTTCTTATTCATAAACTTTTATTTCATGTTTAAATTTTTTGGGGTGGGGGAAGAACTACACTTTATTTCATTTAAAAAGTTTTGAGGGGCCAGGAGTTACTGTGGTGTTAATGGGGACAAGGTTACCTTAATACTCATTGGCCACCAGATCCACACCCAGTGGTACTGGAAGTGCTCTGTGTTACCAGGGGTTGAATTCAGGGTTCATCTGAGCCACTTAAACCATATCCTTGGCCTCGTATTTAGATTTTTTTTTTGTTTTGCTTTTTGGGTCACACCTGGCGATGCTCAGGGGTTACTCCTGGCTCATGCACTCAGGAATTGTTCCTGGTGGTGCTCAGGGGACCATATGGGGTGCTGGGAATCGAAACTGTGTTGGCCATGTTGGCTGCGCTGTGCTATCACTCCGCTGTGCTATCACTCCGGCCCCTTGTATTTAGATTTTTATCTTTCATTGTGATATGACTTCTTGGAACTTAAGTTCTAAGTCCTTTCACAAAATTATTTTGTCAGCAAGTGGTTTCAGTATTTACTAAGAATTTCTCCACCTTTATGAAATGCCATTTTACATCATTTTGAAGTGTTGTATGTAATTGAATCTCTTTCTAAAACTGATAAATGTTTAAGAAGTGAATTTTTGCATCAAGTAGCCCGAAGGTTAATAATTAAGTGCAATATAGTGAGTATACTACTTTAGCGTTTTTTCCCCTCCCAAGCATTGCATACTAGCTTTTGTTTTCTCTTTTTTTTTGGGGGGGGGGTGCAGTTAAAGGGGAGGGTGCTCCAAGTAGAGGTCCTGAAAACACTCAGAGCAGATACTCAGTCCGGCTCTGTGGGTCTGACAGTTCAGTGCTCAGGCCCAGTGGTCCTAGGGGTCAGCAGGGTTACCACTCAGACATGTACTCATGTGCATGTGGCCCTTACCCCTGAGCTGTCCCTGGCCCCTCTGGCTATAAAGTCAGAAGTCAATAATTGTCGGGCTAGTCTGGTTAAATTAAATCCAGATTTCTCTACCACATTTAAAATCTAAACTTTGATACTTCAGGAACCCATGTAGCACTGGAGCACTGTCCTCCCCGTTGTTCATCGATTTGCTTGAGCGGGCCCAGTAACGTCTCTGTTGTGACACTTGTTTCTGTGTTTGGCATATCGAATATGTCACGGGGAGCTTGCCAGACTCTGCCGTGCCGGTGAGATACTCTCCGTAGCTTGCCGGGCTCTCCAAGAGGGGCGGAGGAATCAACCTGGCTCAGCTGGGCCAGCTGCGCGCAAGGCAAATGCCCTACCCGCTGTGCTATCACTGCACCCCAGGAACCCATGGAATTTTGATTATAATAAATTATATAAATTCTCCATTTAAAGAAATTGAATCAGAGAAAAGGAATCAGTAGAGCCTTTCTTTCTTATTTTTTTTTTTTAATTTTAGGTGATCTGTAAGTCAGATGCTCCAACAGGGGATGTTCTTCTTGATGAAGCGCTAAAGCATGTTAAGGAGACTCAGCCTCCAGAAACGGTCCAGAATTGGATTGAATTACTAAGTGGTAAGCTTCTCTGTGTGTAGACTAAAACCTGTGTGTAAACTAAACTGAAATCTGTTTCAAGATTTTTGTAAAATCCTTTTGAAAGCATCTTACATGTAGTAACTGAAAGCTTAGTGTCTAAGGCACAGTGGAAAATCAGAAGTTCTAGAATGGGGAAAACAGTTGCCTTTCAATTTTTATCTCTGGTAAATTGGGCTCATGTTGAATGAAAAGTGCTCTTCTTTTTTTTTTTTTTTTAAATAGTTTATTTCTTTATAGAATCACTGTGGGAAAAGTTACAGAGCTTTCGGGTTTAGGTCTCAGTCATGTAAGTATCAAACACATTTCCCTTTACCAATACTTATTTTTAACCGCGAACCCCAATAGAACCCCACCTCCCACCCCTCCCAATTCCTGTGAGGCAGATGAGTTCTAGTTAACACTCTACTTTGACTAGATACATTGTTTCGATAGGAGATGCACAATTATTGTTTAGAGTTTACGATCCTCCCCCCCCCCCCCCCAATCAGACATGCTGGTTGTGAAATGATTTGCTTTCTACAGCTGGGTTTAAGAATAAAATGATGTCGTGCGGCCGCTATTGCGGTTTTGGATTTCTGCTGTTTTACTTATTAACCCTGGAAGTATTTCTATTAAAAGTTAGATAGTTAAGAGATTGGTTTTTGTGCTCTGGAGTCGTGGCCCGTGCCGGAGAGCCGCTCGTGGGGGGCAGCCGGTGACCTCGGTCGGGCGTGAAGGACGGCCCACAACGCCCCCCTTCCCATGAGGCCCCCGCTGCCCCCTGCCCCCGGCTCAAACCTGCTGTCCACAAGGCTCCCGTGCGGCCACCAACTTTCTTTCCAGAGAGGAGCGGGCGAGCGGGTCAACACCCTGTCCCCTCCGGGCAGGCTTGGTGGCGCGGTTTAACACATAGTCCATTTGGAAAAGTGCTCTTCTTAATGCCCGTCCTCTTTTGTCACAGTTGCCTCTCACTGCAGAGGTGGGTTAGGGTGAGCTGACAGACTACCTCAAAATCTCAGTGAGTGAAGGCAAGTTTTTCCCCCTCCTCATTCATGCTGTGAATCACAGACTACTTCATCTCACCCTTGCGGGGCAGCCTGGCAGGTGGAGCTGCACCATCTGCAGTGTTGTCGGTTGGTATCAGAAAGGGAGGGGGCAGAGCAAGTCACCCGGGCGCTTACGTTCCAGCTCAGACGTAGTATAGGCTTAAGGTCTCACTGTGGAAGCCTGCCACATGTCCCCACCTAAGGAGACAGGAGAGCCTGAAGTGTGTGTCTGACTAGACATTTACAAGTGTGATTTGTGTGTTCGTGTGATCTGTACCGTGAACTCTTTGGGTTCACGATACAGATATATAATCAAACCTAACTTTCCCACTAATGTGTGAAACAGCTTTCATGTACATTCATTGTCATTTTATTTCATGTTTGAACATTGCTCTTCAGAGCAATTCTCAAGAACATTGGATATTAGAATAGCAGTTAGAAAAGTAGAATCACAAATGTAATCAAATACTGTGAACTTCTTTATAAAAATAAAAGAAAATTATAGGTGTGCAGCTGAGGTGGGTTTGGTTGGCCAGTTTTTTTCATTTATAAAGTTTCTAACATGGTCCTGTTTATGAGGTAGTTCTTTGAATAAAAAATTTTGAGTTGTGCATTTTAAATGGAATTGTTGGTCCAGAGATGGTAAATAGGGTAAGGTGTTTGCTAGCCTGTGGCTGTACTCGGGACACTGGTACCCTGACCACAGAACCAGGTGTGTCCCCCAAGCCAAAACAAACAGATGGGGGCCGGAGCGGTAGTATGGCGGGTAGGGCTTTTTCCTTGCATGCTGCTGACTCTGGTTCAACTCCCAGAATTCAACTCCCTGAGCACCGCCAAGGAGTGAGCCCTGAGCACTGCTGAGTAAGCCCCCTGTACTCCCAAACGGACCAGGAGAGAGTATGACGCTCAGGGGGTGTGTTTAGTCCGGAGCGACTTGGATTCAATTTCTGGCACCACGTGGTCCCCCAAGCATCGCTGAGTATAACCCTGGAGGCCCCCAAGGACCACCAGGAGGTGTGCAGCCGAGGTGGTTTTGGTTGGCCAGTACTCACTGGTGGGCCTTTGAGCACTGCTTTGGAGATCTGGGGACACGTGCTCATTTGTAACTAATGGGTGAATACTGGGCACTTGACCCTGGCACTTGTTAGGCTGGTGGTTGTTAGGGCTCTACGGGTCCTAATGGGAAGCAGCGTCAGGGATTGTCAGGGATTAAACCGATCTGTAAGGCCTTTGCTCTGCCGCTGAGCCCCCTGGGCGCTTACGTTCCAGCTCAGACGTAGTAAGGGCTTAAGGTCTCACTGACCTTAGCCTGACCTCTTCATCCTTTTTGATAGAGACTGGAACTTACGAACATGGGTGTCCTGGGAATTTAACACACTCTGAATCTGTTGAAGGTTTATTGCTGCATAAGTAACAGAAACCGTTTACTTTTTGCTTATTGCTACATGAGTAACAGAAACGTTTACTTTACTCTATTACTCCCTTTGTACTTAGGCTGGGGGTAAAGCTTTCCTTACAGTTTCTTTTGTAACACTCATCTGAAAATTACTTTGATCATTTGATAAGGTGTGTTTAGTTATATAAATTAAACTTACAGATTCACTCTACTCAGTACATATTGTCATCTCTAGCTAATGCTGCCATGGACTGAAGTCACATGTACTCCATATGTTAAATATTACAAATAAATTTTCTTGGATAAAATTAGAAGTTTTGGGGGAGAGAGCTCAACAGGCGAGAGCTGTGTGCAGGATGCCTGGGTTCACGATTCTCTTTGGGCTTTACCAGTAAGGAACCTCTGAGCACTGTTGGGTGTAGACCAGAAACAGAAGAAGTCTGAAAACAAAAAGAAGGGCTAATTTATTGGTTTTGGGCCCCAAAACCCATTCCCGTTCCCAGTGGTGCTTTTGGGTTACTCCCGACTCTGTGCTCAAGAATCACTCCCCATTAATTGGGGGGACCATACAGGATGCCGAGAATCAAACTCTGGCCAGCCTCTCGCAAGGCGAGCACCCTACCCTCTGTACTATCTCTCTGGCCCACCTGGTGGAACTTTCTATGGAGGGAGGAGGTGGTTGTGAGGCTTTAAGACAGTTGGTGATCATTTTGGTCACAAGGTGTCACTAGACTGTCATATGCTTGTTTCCATGACGCGATGTCAAGGAAATGGAAGTATTTTGTAGTGGAATTCTTTGGTATTTGTCAATATGTCGTTTTCCAATGAAGTGATTGATGGGCATTGGCGAGGCACATACCCTCTGAAGAACTTTTCCTCCCCATCTGTTCTATTCAGAGATGTTAAGAAAAAAGAACCCTGTCATTTCTGTATGTTTAAAGTTTGCTTGGGACTGGAGAAAATAGTACAGGGGTTGGTGTCCCCTTGGTGTCCCCGCCGAGTGTCCTTCAGGCCTTCCTGTTCAGGCTGCACAGCGAGCAGCTCAGCTTTCTGGTGGGCTACCTTTGCCTCACTCTGCAGACCCTTTCCTCCCAGACTCAAGGGAACGCCAGCAGGGTTTCTAGACCTCACAAGCGTGGTCTCCTCTTTCCTGGTGCTCTGTGTCCCCCATGCTGTGGTCTCCCTCCCCCTGCACAAAAGCTCCGTGCTGCTCCGCGTTCCCTCCCCCGCTGCTCTCTGGAATGGAATTCAGAGCGGACGCGTGGGCTGGAGTGAATTTCATTGGGCAGGAGCTCTGGACTGCCTTTTGACTAGTGTCTGTAACAGCTGTTTTGTATATTGTATTGAAAATTTTCAGTGTTCAGGGAATTCCAGGACTTTTTCAGTGTTAAGTCATGTGGTACAATGATTTTATGTGTAACTAATTGGGTGATATATTTTAAGATAATCCTGTCTTCCAGAACTTTTTTTTTTTGGTTTGTTTTTGGGTTTTGACCACACCTGGCCAGATCAGGGGCTTATTCCTGGCTCCGTACTCCGTAGGGGTCATCCTTGTGGGGGCTTGGGAAATCATGTAGGTTGCAGAGGATCAAGCCTGGATCTGCTGCTTGCCCCGGAAATGCCTTTCTTGCTCTGTTCGCTCTCCCCAGCCCTGTCTCCCGAACTTTCTGTGTGATGGAAATGCATTTCTGTGCTTTCCAGCCAATAGCCACCAGCCACGCATGATTGTTGAGAACTTGGTTGTTGTTGTGCTTGGGTTTATTCCTGGCTCTGGTCCCAGTCACACCTTGTGGGCTCGGGGACCGTATGGTGTGCCAGATCTCGAACCTGGGTTAGCTGCCAGCATCTTACCTGCCATACTGTCACTCCAGCCCAGTTGAGCACTTGAAATGAGGAACTGGTTTTTATTAATTTGCTATTTTAGTCTCCTTCCCTCTTTTCTTGCCTTGTGGCAGATCTGGTGGTTGTGACAGCTGGGGTCACAAGGCACAAGCTTGCCTCGAGCTTGTTGCGGGATAGGGGGGCTTGCTCAGCGCTCACGCTGCTGTTTTTCTGCTCGGAGCTCCCCGGGAGCCCACCTGCTGCCGTGTGCTGAATCGGCTTGTGGAGCTGGATCGCACAGAGCGGCGCTGCCACGCCAGACACCACCGTGTTGAGCTGTGGCCCTGCGCACTTGCCAACAGGTGTGGCCGCTGGGCTATTTCTGTTCCCCCAGACCCTGAGATGTAGCAGTTCTGGCCCGGAAAAGCAGGCTTTTGCTGGGGGCGGGCGGGGGTGGGGGAGAGAGATTCTTTGGAAAAAGGTAATTCCAGTATTGCTGAGTAGTTTTAGTACAATTAGCAGTTCATACTCCAACCTCTGTTGTCTTTTGTTTAGGTGAGACATGGAATCCATTAAAATTGCATTATCAGTTAAGAAATGTAAGGGAACGCTTAGCTAAGAACCTGGTGGAGAAGGGCGTACTGACGACGGAGAAACAGAACTTCCTCCTCTTTGACATGACGACCCATCCTCTCACCAATAACAACATTAAGCAGCGCCTCATCAGGAAGGTCCAAGAAGCCGTTCTCGACAAATGGGTGAACGACCCTCACCGCATGGACAAGCGCCTGCTGGCTCTCATCTACCTAGCCCACGCCTCCGACGTTCTGGAGAATGCTTTTGCTCCTCTTTTGGACGAGCAGTACGATCTGGCCACCAAGCGCGTCCGGCAGCTTCTCGACTTGGACCCCGAGGTGGAGTGTCTGAAGGCCAGCACCAGCGAGGTCCTGTGGGCCGTGGTGGCCGCGTTCACCAAGTAGCTCCGCTCGGAATGAAGCGTTCTCTTCTCAAGGAAACCAGTAGTTTGCTTGTTTTTTCTCTTTCTGTTGACTTCTGGTTTTCTGCAGTTTGTACTTTCCATTCTAGAATTGGCTTTTCTGTTACTAATTGGTGGGTGGCTGTTTCTTTTTGTATGTATGCAGGATTCTGCTGGTACGAGAGGCCTTCCTCTTTCTGTTCCGAAAGTCACACTGCCACGTTGGCATTTCATTCCTTGTTGCCGTTGTCACGGTTGCCTGTCGGGTCTCTGGCGTGCGTTGGCTTCCCAAAGCACCTCCAGCCTCCCCACATGCGCGTCTTTGGGATGACCTCAGTTTGAGTTTTCCCCTTGTGCATGTGCATCCCACATCCTGCCTACAGCGCAGACAGAAGTCACAAAAAGGCCTTTAACTCACCAAAGGTAAATATCTGTATCTATTAGGACATTTTCTACATAGACCTCAGTTGAGATGTATACTTAGCAAAATTATTTTTAAAATTGAGACAGCACAGTAAGTAATATAAAATGCCCCTTGAATTTTGCTTCCCGTGTAAATCTCTTGTATTATTACACTTGTTATACTTTTAATTATAAGTCATCAAGGTCCAATCGTTTCACAGAGCCAGTTTGGGATGGGCTGCATTCCAGTTGTGCTGTATATAGTTTGAATTATATAGAAGTTGTCCCTTCTCGTGGCCACTCCTGCCTCCATCTTAGTATTTCTAAAGTTTAACTAGTCGTACACCTGGTGCCCCTTATTTGCTTCGGACATTATATTTGATGGCGGATCAGAACCTCTCATCAGTGATGGAGCGTGACAGGATCTGTGTCTTGATTGGTTCCAAATTGTTGAGTTGTGCCATTCATGGTACTTTGCCTATGCATCCCCTGTTCGGAATTTCTGTTCCTTTTTTGGGTCTCACTCTTTTTTATCACTTCTGTAGGGAAGAGACTTGTGACCAGTACTAATCTTGAGTACAGTTTTTTCTTTCTCTGTCCATGAGTAAATTAATGTCTATGCTTAAATGTCATTTATCTACTCACACTTTTTTGGGGGAAAAAAATCAAATGTCACTTCTAGCAGATGTTGCATGTAAATTGTTAGCAAGTAATGACTACAACTCAGATGATTAAGAATTTGTAAGAGAAAGCTCTGCTTTGTTTCAATTTTTATATATAATTATGATAATTAGCACATCATAAGAATATAAGCCTTTACTTTTTAAAGTTTATTTTTACTATGTCTTTGTCACGGTTTATCGTATCATCATTGGTTCATAATGTAAATACTATATATTGAACAAATTAAATGTCAAATTTTTTATTACATAGTTCATGTTAATAGTGGGGCTTTCAGGTGTTTTGAGATTTCTTTGGTTAACTTTCGATGCAAAAGTACTAGATGGTGTATAACTCTTAGAGTTGAATTTTAAGGGATTCCCTAATATGTATACTATCTTTTTATCTGAAGTAATAAACTATGATCTTGAAAGTGCCTGAATCAGAGCAAGCATGTCATTTGTGTTACTGTAGTCTTTGTTTTCTTTCTAATGAAGTTTTAGAATATTTGGTAATATTCCAGTGTGTTGGCTGGCAACGTTTTTTTTGCAGGATCTATAGTCGGTAATAAATAGTTCCGCTTTTATGAGAAACTGGATGTGTTGTACTTTCAGTGTGCTGCACTGCAGTTCCAGTGACAGTTTAAGTAAAAACAGCCTACCGGCCATGGACCCCAACTCCACAGTCATTTTTCACTGATTCTGCAGCATTGCTCGGGGGATCAGACCTGAGGCTCCCGCACGCACAGCGCGCACCCCAGTGCTCCAGGCCCTGGCACATCCTTTGTTTCTGTAAGATGGTTACTGGAGGAACTGGAAATGTGGCTCAAGGGGTAGATTATGTGCTTTGTGTGTGGGAGGCTTCGGGTTGGGTCCCCAAGCACGACGGGATACGAGTGGTTGCCCCTCAGCGCCCCTGGGACTGGCCCCCACAGCAGTTTAAAAAAAAATTACTGGCAATGATAGTAAAGATTGATTTTTTTCCCCTTCTTTAAAGTTTTATTTATTGAATCACCGTGAGAACAGTCACAAAGCCTTTCAGTTAGATTGATTTCTTTTATTGTGGAAGAACCCTAGGTTCTCGAATTACTGTTTCTCAGGAGTTTAAGCGGCACGGACCTGCTTTGTCTGAGCACTCGTGTGTGACCCCCAGCTCAGGACCAGTGTATGCAGAGGTGAGGGGAGCTGGAGGACAGCCCTGAGGGGAGGCCGTTGTCCTGTCGCATGCGGCCGCTTACAGCCCTGCTCTTCATGACGCGTGCAGGACTCTGGATTGCTGCCACTTTGGTGGCCAGTTTTCAGATCCAAGAATTAGGAAGTGACTTTGAAGGTGACGAGATTTGATACAGAGATGTGGTGTACAATAAAGTCGTTTCTGCTTTATATGTTGTAAATTTAATTACTTCATACAAGAACCTCAAGAAGAACGCTCTTAACTGACTGGAGGAAGGAAATGAGAACAGGCCCAGTGCCTGCTGAAGGATTTTTTGCATCAATTTTGGCCTTCCACACCCCAGATGCTCTCATCGCTTGAAGAACAGACTTAGAGGGGATGATTAGCCTGATACTCTCTGATAAGTTTGAACTTTCAGTTCGAAAGGGAGGGGAACAGCTGCAGTCTTCATCTAGGAATTTTTCCAGGCGGGGCACTCAGAGGAGCCACTTTGCTCTCAAAACACCAGGAGGTGTGTAAAGTGCTACATTGTAATGCTCTGATGTAAATGACTTTCTAAAAAGCGGTTTTATATATCTATCATTATAAAACTATAATTAAGAAAGTCTTATTCTCTTTGGGGCATGCTCAGTAATTTGCTCTCAGAAGAAAGTAATACTGTCAGCTAGCAAAGGGCCAGGAGAGGCCCCGACCTACCAAAGCAAGCTTTCCCAGCGGTCCTGAACACACTGGATAACTGAGTTGTTCCCCATCACTCGTCCTCCTAAGGTAGAACATTCCCCCTTGGAATCTGGTAGTCACCCAAAGGAAAGTAAAGGGCTGGTGCCTGGCAGGTTGAGAGGCCGCGTTGTCTCTCCCAGTGTGCAGTTGGTAGATTCTGGCCTGATAAGGAGTCTTGGCCAGGCATGGCTCCTTGGCCTGGGGAGCTTGGGAACTAGCACTTAGAGATATCTCTAAAGTTGAGTAGCAACTCTAGGGCCTCTTCATCTTATCTGTATGCTTACATGTCTGCCAGTACTGTTTCTTTGTACTTTAGATCATGAAAACTCCAGCCTGAGGTCATCTTTAACTCAGCATAGCCCATTGGGTCCCAGAGTGAGCCTAGTCGTGAGTTTTGCACAAGAGTCATCTGTACTTATGCCATCTCAGCTCCCTTCCTTGCAGGGTTTAGGTTCATAGCCCTGCGGGCTAGCCTTTGAGGGCTGGGCCAGGAGCTTCGTGAATGTAAAAACCCAGCTTCCTCAGCCCTCTGCTAGAGTAGCCTGGCATCCACCCTGAGAGCTCGAGGAGAAAATGAAGCCCATTAGCAGCATATGCTGATGTGTAATTGTCTTTTTATGCTTCTGTTGTGGAGAGCTTTCAGAAGAAGCACTCAACAGTCTTTTCAATTACACTTTTGTTCCATTATGTAATTTAGCTAAATTGCCCATTAATGGGTGTTTGGATTATATTCATTATTTTAAGAGGATTTTTTTTTGCGGGAGGTTGGGGGATGTGGGGGGCACTACCCAGCAGTGCTCAGTGAAATTCCTGGTAATGCACAGGGAACCATATGCAGTGCTGGGTGTTGAATCAGGGTCAGCCACATGCAAGGTAAGTGCCTTAAGCCCTGTATTATCTCGGCCCTATTAACTATTTTAATGTACATTAATTTTTTTTTAATTAAAGCACTGCGATTTACAAAGTTATTCATAGTTGTCGCCCCTCTTGGAGAGCCTGGCAAGTTACTGAGGGTATCTTGCCCGACAGCAGAGCCTGGCAGGCTACCCATGACGTATTCAATATCCCCAAAACAGTAACACGTCTCAAAATTCCTTGTGAGACATTTCTGGTGCCCGCTCGAGCAAACTGACGAACAACGGGAGAACAGTGTGACAGTGCTACATTCACAGTTGAGTTTTAGATGAAAGTACAGTATTGCAGCACCAACCCCAGATTCCCTTCACCAGTCCCAGGATCCCTCCCATATCTCCTTCCCTTCTCCACCCTGCCCTTTTTTTTTATTTAATTGTCTATTTTTAAATTTTTATTAGTGAAACACCATGAGGTACAGTTGTAGACGTACAAATTTTTGTACTTGGGTTTCAGTTATACAATGATCGAGTACCCATCCCTCCATCAGTGCCCATTCTCCACCTCCAATGCTCCCAATATCCCTCCCACCCCCCCACCCCACCCCTCTGTGTGGCAGGGCATTCCCTTTTGTTCTCTCTCTCCTTTTGGGTGCTGTGGTTTGCAAAAGAGGCATTGAGTGGCAATCATGTTTGGTCTATAGTCTACTTTCAGCATGTATCTCCCATCCTGGGAGGATCCTCCCAACACCCTTTACTTGGTGCTCCCTTCTCTATCTGAGCTGCCGTTTCCCCTAGCATGTGTGACTGGCCTCCAAGCCATGGAGTGAACCTCCTGGTACTTATCTCGACTATTCTTGGATGTTAGTCTCCTATTTTTTTACTTTATATTCCCCAGATGAATACAATCTTGCTATGTCTGTCCCTCTCTTACTCATTTCACTTAGCATGATACTTTCCATGTAGGACCACTTGTGTGTAAATTTCATGACTTCATCTTTCTAACAGCTTGCATAGTACTCCATTGTGTAGATGTACCAAAGTTTCTTTTACCAGTCATTTTTTCTCATCCAGCCCACCCTCTTGACATACATACAGTGGAGTACTTAATGCAGCTATAAGGAGTAATGCACATCTTTTTATATTTGGTTTTTGTAAGGGGAACTTACAGAAGCACGGAGCCAAGAAGCACTACTGAGCAAGACCTCCAAGTCAAAAGTTGGTAATGATTACAATAAGTCTGCATGTTGTTTAGACAAGTATAGTTTGTGTATGTCTGCAACGTTTTGATTTTTAAGCTTTGTATGTCAAGCCCGGCAAGCTACCGAGAGTATCTCGCCCACACGGCAAAGCCTGGCAAGCTACCCGTGATGTATTCGATATGCCAAACACAGTAACAACAAGTCTCGTGATGGAGACGTTACTGGGCCCGCTCGAGCAAATGAATAACGGGGAGGACCGTGACAGTGACCGTATGTCAAGTTATATGTCGACTGCGGAGACATATGTTTGTGGCCATCACTTAGGTTAGTATGTAGACCAGAGGCTTCCAGATTTACCTGGCCTCCTGACCTCTTTTTGGGCGGGGGGATTACTCAGTACCCCCCTGGAAGGGCTGGAGTGATAGCACACAGCGGGTAGGGCATTTGCCTTGCATGTGGCCGACCCGGGGGTTCGATTCCTTGTCCCTCTCAGAGAGCCCAGCAAGCTACCCAGATTATCCCAGCTGCACAGCAGAGCCTGGGAAGCTCCCCGTGGTATATTCGATATCCAAAAACAGGAACGAGTCTCACAATGGAGACATTACTGGTGCCCGCTGGAGCAAATCAACGAACAACTGGAGGACAAGGCTACAGTGCTACCCCCCTGTAAATCTGCCCTTAGGCCTGCAAAGCAACTCCAGTTGCAACTGAGGCTATTGCACAGTGCCCACCAGGGGGCAGTATTGCTGCTTCGGGAGATGGCTTTAGCACCTAGCACAGCTTCCATCCACCCACTGGCTCCCTGAGTGCTGAATGCATCCCCAGTATCTCTTGGTAATTTGGCTTGGTTTCACTTTAATTTTCATGTAAGAGGCCTTTTAAAATCCTGTTCTTCCACCCCCCCACCCCCTAATGAATTACTGTCCCCCCAACTATAAAACATTTGTCAATGAAATTGCATTTCTGATCTTATAGAGATTCCCAGAGTTGGAGTTTGAGTGATTCTGTCCACCTGGTGTAGACTGATGTATTTTTGTGACCTCTGCATTCCCAGGAATGGGTCAGCGAATCAGAGACTTCCTCAGATTTAGGCAACACCAAGTGTGCAGGCAACTCTATTTCTGCACTGGTGGCCTGTTCTTTGCGAGACTCATAACAGGCTTGGCATATGCCTCGGAGACCACATGTCGTGACATGTAGGTGTGAGACTTTGGGTTTGAAACCGGGCACCCAAAAGAGAAAAAGAGAAACTCATAATGGTTCTCCTATTACGATGTTTCTGGCGTACTGTTCAGTTTCTAGAGCCTATGCTTGCAGTTGCAGTGTAATATTTAAATCCCTATTAGCCAGAATATTTCTGTAAGTTATTCTGTAAACCTCTGTTCTACATTGTCTTTTTGTACTGTTATAGAGGACAGGAAAGAGAAATCTTTACATTTTATTAGTCAGTTTACAAAATATAATTGGATATCCTTGAGTGTTCTCCAAGGATACTTGATTA